AAACCATAAGGAGAGAAGGAGGACAAAGAAGGTAAATCTTCTCTAAAAGCAATATGCTTTCAGAATCTATGGAGTTAGCAGGTAGGTTACCACAATGTAGAATCTTAACCGACTGGCGTCTGTCCCAGGGAATCCACTCCTCGAAATATTGCCCCTGATTGCTTGCAAGTGGAACCAGCCGGAGGCTCACCTGGCCTGAAGATTCTGTGATGAAGAGAAAGATAAGACTCCCTCACACAGTTCAGTACACAACCCTATGGACCCAACAAGTACTGCTTTTTCCAGGATTATGCAAATTTGTTAATAATGTAAACAGTAAACAGCCCCTATTTATATAGCGCCTATTCAGGTCAGGGGATTCTAAAGCACATTACACTGCATTCAGTCATTCATATGGTGATGGGTGGAAGCTATGCTGTTGCCACAGCTTCCCTGGGGTACGCTGACAGAGACGAGGCTGCCATACACAGGCACTACTGAAGACTGACCACATTCAATAGGTGAAATGTCTTACCAAGAACCCCTTATTTTTTGTGTTGAGTGGATCAAATATTTATTAATTAATTCAACACATGCATCTTTTGTCTTATTAATTTTACATAAATGAATGTGACTTATTAAGTGCTTTACAAGAATAGCTCACAATGTTTGGAGCATTGGAGCTCCCTGATACACCATTAAATCAATGAGTACCCACTCTTTTAAAACCAACTCTTTTTCTCAAGATGCTTTTCAGCTTTTCAGAGAGTGGATAGCTCTATAGACAATTTTCCACCCAAACAACCCTTCATTGTTGCAATTTTTGTTAAAGAACCAGCAGACAGTTCAGTGAAAGGTAATTCTGTCATTTTGGGTTTTTCGGTCTGTGGCTGCTGAAGACATGTAATTTATTTAAGCAAAAGAGAAAGAGCTACTGCTATTTCACATCCCTTTGTCTAAAATTCTTGCCTTGCACCCCCCCCCCCCCACCCCCCCCCCCCCCCACACACACACACATACACACTTTACCATGTCTTTCTCCTCCTCTGTCCTTGCTAATCTCCTGTTTTGAAAAATGGAACAGTCAGCTGCTTTATATGCATGATTATCAAACACTGCTAAATTAACAATTAGAGGATGGAAATGGGCATTTGAAAATAGAATTTCACACAGAACTGTAATAGAAAAACACACATACAACTATACCTCTAGTTGTCCAACACAAGACACAAGGTCATGGCATTTTCATATCAGGATGGGATGAAAATAGAAAGAGGGCCATGAGCTAGACGGACTGAGGCACAATGAGTCAGTGGGCTGATAACGCAGATGGACTGAATCAGTGGGCTGAATGCAGGAGGCAGTTTTATGTGCGTGTCTGTCTGTGTGGTGCTGTCTTTCAGAGGGGAGACTACAGGGAGGACATCAGAGAAAGATGTTTCTGGGTTTTTAAAGGGGTCCCTGCAGGTGGGGAACACCAGGCCTGCAGGTCCCTGTGGATGTATGATGTTCTCTTGTCCCCCAACCACCTTTACTTTCACAGCACCGTGTCTAAAAATAGCCTTTCTTTTTTTATTCCATCTAGATTCCTCCTCACTTCTGCACACAATCATAAACACACACACACACACTGAAATGTAAAATGTTAAGACAATGGTGGTTTTTGGAAGAATAAGGTTCTGGAGAGGTCTTTCTCACAGCAACAAAAAAAAAAAAAGGATTCTCCTTTTTTTGTTTGCAAAAGCAGTAAATGGTAAGGAGATCCAATTTTTAATTTAAAGAGTTTAATCCTTTCAAATTAAATTAGGCAATAACATTTTTAAAGTCTCATAGGTTATAAACCATGCTTTCATTTTTTTTTTTTCAAAATACATTATTAACCCTAAGTTATTAATTTTATTAATTTAAGCATAGTTCAGATTCCTTAAAAACAGCAAAGAAACTTTAGATATATACTTTTTTGCAAATGAGAATCTCAAATTGGTAGTTTAATCAGCACCTTTTACTCTGTTACTCTTAAATTATTTCAACGCAACCCATTCACTCCTGCAATCTCCTAATTAGTTAAAAATTTACCCCCCAACGTGAATCAAATCATTATATAAATTTAGCTGTTGCTGTGAAACAATATGTAAACATTTGAACAAACATTCTTCTGTCTGCCATCTAGAAAACCAACAGATAGTTCATTGCACTAATATGATCACAGAAACATCCTAAAAGCCCATGGTAACTCTGGAGGAGCTGTAGTAATCATGAATTTAACAAGACAACTATCCTAAACATTAGAAGTTTTTTTTTGCAATCTGCCTTTAAATATGTCATGAAATGGTAAACATGTGAAGGAAGTTAGCTATTATGATCAAATAAAGCCAAACTTCTACTTCTTAAGGCAGAACCATGATTCAAACTAAAACTGCACATTGCCATGACCACATCATTACTAAAGTAAAAGACTGTGTTGGCACCATCATGCTGCAAAGGTGTAAAAATAGATCCACTTAATACATTTAATTACTTAAAGAAGACGTTTTAGAGGCAGCAAAGACTGGACAGGTTTTCACCTTCCAGTATGACATCAATCCTAAAGATGCAGCCAGAGGAACAGGGGAATGTCTTAGATCAAATTATGTTCACAAATTACAACAGTCCAAAATAGAGGCCTTTTTTAAAATGCAGCATGTGACAAGACTTGCAAATTGATGATCATGGTCAGTGCCATCTAATAAAACTAAGCTTGTGCTTATTTGCAAAATAGAACAGTCCAAAAATGTTAGTGTCTAGAGGTGGAAAGCTAGTAGAGATACATTTGAGCTTTGCTCTAAACGTATTGAATTAGTGGGGAATGTATCAAAACTGCAACCCGCTTATTAGATTTTTTTTAAGTTTTTAAAAAGCATATAAAGCTTTAACTTCACTTTGCTGTTGTGAAATACTTTACTTTGTCCTCTCTCGTATATGAAAAAAAAATCTAATGTATTCCAGTTTCTGGTTGTATCATGACCATTGTAAAAGAGTATGCTTTCAGAACATGGTACTGGAGTCCTAAAAGCTTCTAGTCAATTTTCTGGAGACAGTGACGGATGAGCTGCCAAATAAAACCAAAAGCCACATTATTAAAAAACATGTGAATTTAGAAGTCATCTGAGAAGAACGGTGCTGTAAAAATCTAATGCCCTATAATCTTCATTTATCTATTATTCTTTATCACTCTTTTATATCTTTATGTTTCGTTTTGCATTTATTGCAAATAAGGTCTTTGTATCATCGGTGTTATCAAAATGGGCCAGAAAGAAAAGCGAGTGCTTTTTTCTTTCCTGTATTCCTTATGGCTATGCAGTGAGGCTTTAAAGTTGATTGTATTTTATCTTTAAATACCGGTACATATTTCTGTGATGCACTATGTGAAACACTGACTGTCAGCTCAAACCGTTCACTTTCACATGGCTTATATTAGATTTATCACAACATTGTCAACAGCAGAGCAATTCTTGGTGTCTGCAAACGTGACATCTGTGCTTTAACAATGGATAAACAGAGCATGATCAGGAATGTTTGTGAAGCTAGAGAGACTGAGATATGCAAATGGAATAGAATTAGATAGAACATTATGGAATCCATAGTATAATAATTTTATGGTTCTAACAGTGTGGTTAATGAAAGAAAAAGACAAAAAATACTTCACATTATTTGTTAAGAACATCCAGCATTAAAAAAATCTATTTATAGAAAAGTCATTCAAAAATATGCTGTTTATTTAGGAGATATGGCTAAGTATGATAGGGTTTGAAGGCAATGGCTCTTTCAGTCAAACAGCACCATCTTGTGGTCTCTTCTAAGTTTTAAGCTATGATGACAAATAAATCATGGCTTTTTCTGGTAACCTAGTTATAACATAAGGCAGTCATATACAGGTTCTCAAAGATGGTGCATGAAAAAACTTGTTTAATATTTTACAAAATTGGATCCCTATGTTCACTTTTTCATTAATCGTTTAGTCTGAGCAAGCTTAACCATATGTTGGCCACCTTGCTGCTTATTCTTGATAGCATAGCATTTGTCATCTGCTAATCCACGGCGTGATTCTCTTAATCCATCACATCATAGATTGTTTATCCGGCTGTGGCTGGGTGGATGTGCTTTCTTCATCCGCTGGCTCTGAGCTTTTTCTGCCTGGCTGTGTGTTTCCTGGACCGAGTCGCCTTTTACAGTTGCTTTTTCTATGTCTGCTTCTGTCTCCTTGAACCACCTCAGCAGATGGCTGCTCACACTTAGCCTGGTTCTGCTGGAGGTTTCTTCCTGTTAAAAGGGAGTTTTTCCTCTCCACTGTCGCTACAAGCATGCTAAGTGTGATGGAATTGTATTTGAGTCAATGAGTCGCAATCAACTGGTCTGCCTGAGATAGAAAACTTTGAACCAATCTGACTGTATGATCTGGTGAACTGTAAAGTGCCTTGAGATGACATGTGTTGCGAATTGGCGCTATATAAATAAACTGATCATAGCAATTGTAATACATGGAACTCTTGTAGGATAGAAATAAACCAGTTTAAGAGGATTTAAGTGTTGTGACGGTAAGTATCCATCTAAAGCTGGTTAGATAAACAATAAATAAATGCCTATATACATAAAAAAAAAGTGAACCAACAAGCTGGTTGGATTGTTTAAGAAATGCTTAATTGTGAGCATAGAAAATATCCCTCATATTTTTACCTCACAGAAAAATATAATGGGCTTATTTATTAGTTCTGAGATAATGAGGCATAAGCTGAAACTTAAGCAAAAAGCCTTAGGTTACATTATAAAGTGTTATACTAGGCTCAATGGCGTGGAAGAACTTTTCAACCTTTCTGTGATTATAATATTTTATATAATTATTTAATACTGTCACTTTCTGAACGTTTACTTTACGTAAACATGATTATTCTTAATTTTATATTATATAATACATAATAAATAATTAAAGTATAATTTTGTAGGAACGGTGGTTCAACGCTTATGTTGTCAATCGAGACCGGAAGTGGGGTGCTAACGTTACGTCACTTTCCCTAACAGCGCGAAAAACTACAGTTCAACATTTGGCCAAAAGTGCTGCCACTGTCCTCTGTAAGAAGGTCCACTTTTATTTAATGTGAGTAAGTAGCGCTGCTTTGAGTCCTATTACTGTCATGGTCTCTTTCTGGCAGTCGAGCACTTCGGAAGGGATTAAAATAGCTGCCGAATCGATGGGGCAACATTTCATCGTTAGCTAACTTTATAGCTAAACATTTCTAGCTTGTCGATAATTACTTCTCAGCGTGTAATGCTAAAGTGTGCGCTAATTTTATTGGCTTTTCCGCCTCATTTTTATTGCTTTGAATAACATAAAAGCGAAACTATTGTTGTTCACTGACCACAAAAACATTTACCAAAAGTGTGTCTTATGGTGCTAATTAAAGTGCTTAAACTAATAAAAAGCTAACATATAATCCAGTATGGTTACAATAAAGTTTTACCTCCAGCTGGTATTGAGTAGAGATAATAATAAAAAAAATATTTGAAAGAATGTATAATTGAATTGCCGTAGCTCTTTTATGATTATTAGAATAAGATTTATGAAGCATTTTAATTTGTATTTTATACATTATATGTAGACATTTTTAAATATATTGTTTTATTATAAATTATTTATTGCAATCACCCAGAGAACCATGGTCCACATTCTCCTTTCTGTCAATTTAAACCATTCTATTCTTAAGAACCTGGTTATATTATTTACTAGTTATAAAAAACACTTATTAGTAATTTTTATCTAGTCAATAAATTAAGAAGTATCCTACAGTGTGGTGCATTTTTTAAAGAAGAATACAAATATAAAAAATGTGTGTGTTGTGTGCATTGTTGCAAGAATGATGTCATGCAATTCCTTGATTCTAGTTTGGAATCAGAATTGTATTTATTATCATTATTGATGAACAGCAGCATATAAACATAAGCTAATTTGGTGTTGGCCATCATTACTTTCCCAGCATAACAAGATATTAATGGCCAAAACTGGAGTCATAAAGTGCAGTAAATAGGGACTAAACGGAGTGGTGGCTTTTAGGGGAGCAATTAATGAATGTTTTATTTTTTTGGATTAATCGATAAATAATAGCCAAAGATTCCTTAAAGAAGACTTTTTACAGAATTAAACCAGGGGAAACTAAAACTTTTCCCCTTGAGGAGTTCTGGATAGAGCATATTGTAAGACAAAAATATATATATTTTAAATCTTGTATGCAAAATGTTGACATATTTTTAACAATTGTCCAATTACTGCTCTAAATATGGGTTGCTTTGTCAGCTAAATACATGTTTTAGAGTCTCTACACTCCAGTTAACGATTAATCGATTACTAAATTAGTTGACAGTTATTACAATAATGGATTAATCACGATAAATCTGATTGTTTCAGCCCTAGTGGCTTTGACAGCCTTAAAGAAGAAGCTGTCTTTGATCCTGTTAGTCCGAGTTTTTTTTGCCAAGAAAATAATTAGTTAATTCAACCCAAGAAATAGCTTTCTGAGGGTTGGGGGAACTTGCCTGGGACATCTCTGCTAACAAACTATATAGAATTATTGACTTTGATCAAATATTTTTTTCATAATACCTTTTTGTACAACTAAAGTGCCTTTTTCCTTCTCTCTCTCTGATAAAGAAAAAATGTCCAAAATAGACAAAATGAGCATCCTCGGGGTGCGGAGCTTTGGGGTTGAGGATAAGGACAAGCAAGTCATCAGTTTCTTTACACCTTTGACTGTTCTGGTGGGACCCAATGGAGCAGGGAAAACGGTAGGAGAACATGAAGATAAATCAAAGTAGAAAGCATAAAAGAAGTTTGCTAAATACTTTTAGTTTATTTCCAATTGTTTTTAATCTCATTTTTAAAATGTGATCCCTGTATTTTTGTGTTTTTAGACTATAATTGAATGCCTCAAGTATGCAACATCGGGGGAACTTCCTCCTGGATCTAAAGGAGGAGCCTTTGTTCATGATCCAAAGGTGTGTTGCTGAATATCTCATCAAACTACCTCAAATCATAGTTTTAAGAAATATAGTTGGAAAGTACACAAATTATTATATACAGTGCTTGTATGAAATCTAAATATTTACTTCTTGTGCTATTTTCACACCGATTTGAGCAGTTACGAAGCTGCTCTGATGCTTGTGCTGCTCTTGTGTTCAATGGCAGAGAGTTGCTTTGCTGTATTGGCTGTAATAAGTGGGTAAAAAGTAGTTTTACTATGATTTTAAGTAATTAAAAAAAAAGTACACCTCAAAACATTGTCAGTTCAAGATTACGATCCTGCCTTAAAATATTATTGCACAGTCGGAGCCACGCAGATCCCCAAATAACGTCAGTAGCTCCCCCAAACCAGCCCGCCTCTTGGGGATATTAGACTACTGTTCATGGTGGTTGGAAGTAGATATTAGCATTTTTCAGGTTTATAGTGCAAACTGCAAGCACCGGAATAATAATAGCGAACATATTTTGCAGACAGGTTTCGATATTTTAAGACAATTTAGGCATTAATAAACTATTTCATGGGAGTGATTATAGCGCTTGCTTTTCTTTTTACATGAAAAAAAAATCTCCTTTTCCTCTGACATTGTAAACCTAATGGAGTTTAACCACGTTTATACAGCGGGTAAAATAAGTATTGATATATTAATAGACAAAACTTTATTTCTGGACATCTATGCTTTGATTTCTTTGTATGTGTAGATTGCATATATTGTTACTGACATCTGGTGGAAGTGTTATGTCAATAGCACCTCTAGAAATATATTTACTGAGAAAAATGGTGGTGTGTCCAATACTTATTTCACCTGCATTATATATAGAGAGGGAGGGAGAGCTAGCTAGCTCCCAGATCAACTTCTCTGATTGGTTGATGTGGTGTGTCGAGCAGCTAAAGTTCCAATTTTCCAGCATCAGAAGCAGCTTATACTTGAGTTGGTGCTGAGTGTTGCGCACCTCAGACCCTTAAATGCTCATGAGGCGCTTCTCCTGCTGCTTGAGACGCACTGCAGGACCTTTTGATGCGCCTTGCTATGCTTTAACCATAGACTGCGCATGGAACTTGTCACCTTCTGCTGCTCAAATCTTGTTCGGTGTGTAAGTAGCATTATTGATTTTATTCCTCTAAAATGTATAAAGAGTCTATTCTACTTTTAATATTCACACAAGACCAATATTTTTTAGCAGTCTTCTTAAAATTCTTCTAGAATGGTTTATGATTTCTGAAATAAAAAAGAATATTTTAATTAGAGAGAGATTGGTCTGTCTGACTTTGCTAAAGGATGTTGCCGGTGGGTGATATTTTATTTATGCCTGAAGTAATCTAATGTCATTACAGGATGCCCATGAGACTGACGTTCGAGCTCAGATCCGACTCTTATTCTCAGATGTAAATGGAGAAAAAGTCTCCATCCAGCGCTCCATGTCCTGCACTCAAAAAGCAAAGAACTACTCTTTCAAAAGCTTAGAGCAGGTTATCACTAGAATAAAGTAAGACACTTTGAGAAAAATACTGCACTCTTTTGCCCAATGTGGGAAAACCTTGATACTGAAAATGATTTTCTTTTGATTTATTATCTGTAGAGATGGTAAAAAAGTAAGTCTTCCCTCCAAGTGTGGTGAGCTGGACAGAGAGATGATTTCTGCTTTAGGAGTATGCAAGCCCGTGCTGAATCATGTCATCTTTTGTCATCAAGAAGAGTCCAACTGGCCACTTAGTGAGGGCAAAGCACTTAAAGAGAAATTTGACTCCATCTTTGCTGCAACTAAGTGAGTCCAACAAGTGTTTCTAGTTTAATAAATGTCCAAATATTCAATTTTGATAGATAATTATTTACATTGAAACAAGTAACGCTATTTATTAGTATTTGTTTTAAACAGACAGCACACTTTAAATCATGTATGTTCTACTGTTAGATATATTAAAGCTCTAGAGACAATGCGACAGCTGCGCCTCAAACAAAATCAGACCGTCAAAGAATGCCAAGTGGAGTTACGCTACCTGAAGCAGAACAAGGAGAAGGCTCAGCAGATCAGGGAGACCGTGGCCACCAAAGAAGCTCAGCTGATGGCCTCCAAAGACAGTGTCCAGCAGATAGAGAGCCAGATTGATCCCCTTGAGGTGTGTGAAATGCTATTTTTATTATAAAGCTGGTTTATAGTAAATTAATTGTTGGTTTTAAAGTTTGTTCAGTATTTTACTCTGATGCTCAATGTTCATATTTAATGTCAGAATCGAATGATAGAAATTGACCAGAAACTGGGGAAGGTGATGAAGTTAGACAATGACATAAAGGCTTTGGACAGCAGGAAGAAACAAATGGAGGAGGACAACAAGGAGCTGGAGGAAACCATGGAGCAGGTAAAGATGATCTTACCATGTAACGTATGTAAAAAGGAAATGTTAGGTTCACCTTTATAGATTGTTCCTACAAGAAAGGAGCAGAAGTAGTGATTTTGGAAATTTGGAATGTTGATAATATAGTGGAGAACAGTGTTAAAGGTTTTTTTGTGATTGTTTAGGATGATTTGTACTTAAAAAGGTGCGACGCAAAGATGAACTTTATTGGTAAAGATGCATAAAGGTTGGACTAATGTAAAAAGTTGTTTTCCATAGAAGTAAATTATATTTAATTATATCAGTCTTAAATTATTATTTGGTCTTCATTTATGGTCTCTGAATTGGAAAAAATTTGCATGTCAAATGATAGAAATATTTTTGCAATAATGTGACCCTTTGATGTCTCTAGAATTTACATCAATAAAAAAAGTAAATTGGCTCTATGCACAACTCCATCACTTCCAAAACTTAAGGCAGCTTTTTGCCGTTTCTCAATCCACAAGAACGCAAGCATGGACTCATGTTCTTGCCGATTATGTTTTTGACAAGAACACAGGAAAGTATGGACTGGAGGAGAACATGAGCACGCAGAAAAAATATGGGTCAATTGAAAAAGAAGCGCACTAGTGACGTCACCATATTCCTAGCTAGTCTGGAGCTACATGTCAACTCCTGTTATAAATAATCTCTAGATAATAATAAATTCTTCCTTTTTTCATTAAGTGGAGGAACGGTAATAAACAGACAGAAAAACACAAATCAAATATTTTTTTTGCCAAATAAAACAGAAAAAACTCCAACAGAGCAAACGGTACTTCATACACGGCTCTACCGAGAGAGGGCTTCTGCAGATGGGCTAAGGTTAGCCCTGGCTGCGGTGAGCCTCTGAGGTCCGCTGGTTGCTGTGGTCCTTTCAACATCGAACTTGTTTTTAAATCCCAAACTAAATCAGTAAATGGATCATATAGTGACGCTTATATTTATAATGTTCTCGCCTCAAATGATCTTAAAGCGCACTTTTATAGAACAGCTACAGAAAAGTGAAAATTTAACTTAATAATCTGAGCTCTGCGAGCGCTAATGTTGAAGCTGCTGCTACCGCAGTGCATGCTGGGACAGCTGTCAATCAAGAGAACCACAAGTCTGCTCAGATGCATACTTGGTAAAGAGAGAGGGGAGAGAACAACATTCTGTCCATTCTCAGTCTTGTGTTCTTGTGAATTGGAACAGTGCTAGGGCTGAGGCTGATGATGTTGCACAAGCACACAAGAACGCACAAGTACACGTATTGAGAAATAAACTTTCTTTCCTATCTTTTTGTACTGGATGAACTGATTAATACAGGTGTGCCTGATTTCAGTCACCGTGGCCAGACTCACCTGGATAGATAAATATTTTTTCATTTTTCATTTTATTCTGGATAGATTCAAACTACATTTTGTTGCTTTAAACTTTTCACAGGATAATGGCAACAAAGTTGAATTCTATTCTAATCAGTTCACCCAGTAATGAAAGACAGGAAACGAAAGAGTAAGTCCAGGAAGTAGTGGAGTTGTGCATAGTGCCTATTACAACCAGTTTATAGAAACATTAATAAATGTCTTTGCTTATAATAAAGTGATCAGAGAAAATCCAGGCCATGTTACATGTCTTGTGTTTCCTCTATAATGGCCAGCAGCACTCTTCAACTCATGCTGCTTAGTGGCAACGTTTGCTTATCTTCACTTCTTCTGATGTAATGAAAATTTCTTTCCTCTGTTTTAATGTGGCAATTTTTACACTGCTGACCAATAATAAAGCCTTGCGGTTTTCTTACATGCAATCATCGTCTGGGAAACACTTAAAGCTAATAAAAAGAAAAGATTGAACTGACAATCATTCATCTGTTAAATGACTAACTGCAACCAATCGTATTGCTGATATGGCTTAGCTATCACTAGTAGGAGGTTACAGCTGGGTTACTGCCACAACAAATAATGATAGACTATGCCCTAGGTAAAGGTACTTAACATAACTTCTAGTCAAAATAAAGCAATAGGTAAAAAAACTAAGGCAAGTGATGCAAGGAAACAAATATCAGGCTTAAATGTGCAGCTAAGCAGCAGCTGCTGAGCCAACAACTGATAGCTGGGAAGAAAGCGATTTAGAATCTTATGCTTAGATTATAAGTAGCTGGAAAGACAACTGGCAACAGGACAGCTCCCCAGGCCTCAACAGGAGCCAAAACATCAACTAAGTAGTCTAAAATCAAACAAGACATTTGTAAATATAGGTAGGGAGTTGATGGAAAAAAGATAAAAATGTAGATGGGATTCGGCTGATCAAAACAGCAATCACTTCTGAAGCAGCTCTCTGCTAATATCCCCTAAAAAGCGTTCAATATCTGTTATACCTGTTATACTGTTTTATTTAGAAGTTATGTTAAACTGTCAAAATCAGCTAAACCCACTTTTACGGTCTTGGAAAACCTTCCAGTACTTTACTTTCTAACAATCCAAGCAGGATATGATACCTTTCCTCTGGAGTTAAGGGAACTATTAGAGATAATAACTTCGCTGACTGATGTTGAAAAACTTCAGATTATAAAACATATTCTGAATTATAAATATATATAATAGTTATAAACATTTAGATTATGGAAGGTGGTTTTCTTTTTGCAAACCAGTAGTTATCCATATTTCCTGCACTCTTTATGAGTACTGGTCTGTTGTAAAATATTTTGCCACCTCAAGTTAGTTTCTTTATTTTATTTTTATTTTGTAAAAACGTATGATCTTATGAAAGGATGTTTATATTAAATGGAATAAGATGACTATCATGTCAAAAATTATTTCATTATCAATACTTTATTCATTATCAGCTTGAATGGATTGATTAAATTAAACATTTATTATGATTATAGAAGCAGCAAGTCTTGATAAACATAAGTGAGCAATACAGAGAAAAATAGTAAAACTATTCTGCTAATGTAATGAAAAAAACTTTTTTCCACCTGTCTCAGTGATTTAGATTTTTTTTTTGTATAACATAAAATCCTATTGCTTTTGTCTGAGAAGGTGTTAGCTACTTATTGAATCCAACCTTTAATTAAAACTCTTTTTTTGTATCGGTAGAGTGTTTTCTTATTTTTAAACATTTGGCTGATATCAGAGGAGTTTCCAATATCAGTATTGGTGTGGGAAATTCCTCGCTTTTCTAGGATGGTAGTTTTGTAGGCAAAGTTAAAGGACCAACATGAGGAACAACACAAACAATTTTTTGCTTGTTTTCTTAGCCAAAAAGTTGGCTTTTATTTTAATACCATAGTAAGTAGGTGCACAACATAAAAAAAGAAGTGGGAACTTTTTTGAATTACACTTGGCTTGTTAAAAAGAAAGATCTCATATTTGTTCCTTGGAGTAGATTAAAAAAAGATCTTACTTTGAAAAAGAAAAAAGGAAAACATTAAAAAATTGCAAGTTGTTTAGCTCTCTTTCATTTATGCATATGATAAGTAAATTGCTCTTTTCTTTTCTGCATGTTTAATTTATAGCTAATTGATATTATTTAGTGTTTTAGTTTTAAAAGCAAAATATATTATGCTGGTTCCAGTGTTAACATTTGCACATATGTTTAAAAACATTTTAAACCTTTAGCACTATGCTTTTGTTGTGTTGTGACCGCCTAAAATGGCATCACAGCCCTGAGTTCTTTGGTTATTTTTCAATTGGTACATTTTATTCATGGGAGCTTTGATATAACCATTTTGCTTAGCTTTACTTAAGCTCTTAACAAACAAACCACTTGTACTGCAGGTGTTTCAGGGTTCAGATGAAGAACTGCAGGAGATCTACCAGAACCACCAGAGGACAGTGAGGGAGAAGGAGCGCCGGCTCACAGACTGTCAGAAAGAGCTGGAGCGAGCTGGTCGGGAATGTCAGAGACTCAATAGAGTAAAGTCGGATCTCTTAGTTGAACAAGGTAATTAGAATGTAGATTAAAACAGCTTGATGTAAAATGATTATAGGAAGTATCGATCACTTTTGTCACAAATAAATCAGCTTGATCTATTAAGCCTTATATTAGGTTGATAGACTCATTTGTTTCAATATAATGAGATGTTAAAGTGATTTGCTTTGGCTGCACAGCAACAGCTATTGGCAGTGCTGCCTTGCAGCTAAAAGACCCTTAGTTTAAATTGTTTGCATGGGCTTTTAATGGTTAATCCACTTCATTCCCACAGTTACTGGTAAGTATTTATTTGTTAGGATTGTTAAAAAGCTGTGTCTGGGCAAAATGAGACGTAATACTTAAGCATTTTTATTAGCTGTCGCTTCCCATTAAGTTTAATGTACCCTAAAAAAGCTGGAGAGATGAGTGGTTGTAAATGCTTCTTCAAGGCACTGTAGAAATTTAAGAACAAAGAACACTTCATTCTTTTTTCTTCATCAACCATAATTAGTCTGCTTTACATTTCGGCAATTATTTCCTTTAGAAATGCATCCTTTAAATGTTGTTCCCTTAAGTGTATCTGTGTACAACGTTTGCAATTAAAGATGAGACAATCTTATTTTCTACTCAGGTCGTCTTCAGCAGGAAGCCGATCGCCATACCCAGAACATCAGGAGCCGCGATACTCTGGTGAGAGGAAGGATGGAGAAACATACTTACACTGACTTACTGAGGATACATACAGTAGATGATTTCTCTATTAGAGAGAGTTAAAAAAGTTACTAAATGAAGCTCAAGAACTTCTGAGAATATTTTTTTTTTGCTGTAATTAAAGATTACAAGAAAAATATAAGTTACCGTTGTTTACCTCTTATCCTTTCTATCTCTCAGGTGCGCTCTCTGTCATCCCATCTGGAGATGGAGGGTTATGACCGGCCACCCTTCACTTCCCTGCAGCTTGAAAGCTTTCATCGTCACATCACACAGAGACTGGAGCAGGAGAAAGAAACACTCAGGCAGATTCTAGTAAGAATTACTTAGAAACTAACAGACTCCAGGTTAACTTCCTGGACCAATAGCTGTTGTGTTTCCTGATTTGTTTTTCAGATAAAACGGTAAATAATTATCAACTTTGCCTAATTTCTATAATGAATTGAATAAAGGAATTTCACTACATATATACTTTCAAGAACCTTGTCAAATTGCTTTTTGCTCTTCATGGTGTTGTAGGCTGATTTGCAGGGAAAGGAGCAACAGAAGCAGCAATCTATCGATGAACTGAGGGATAAGAAGACGGGCCTTGAGAGAACAGTCGAGTTGAAGAGGGATATGCAAGGAAAAAAGCAACAGGAACTAAGGAATGTCAGGGCAGATCTGCAGAAGCTTGAAGGGTCCTCTAGTCGGCTGCAAGAGCTGGAAAATGAATTGGCCAAAGCTGTAAGTTATTGTACACTCTTTAACACGTTTATGGCACACATCTTGAGTTATCCCAATTTTACTGTCTTGTTCGTGTAAAAAGATTAATAATCTTGTAATTATTACAAAGGACTTTAAATTGAATAATAAGATAAAAATAAGAAGACTTACATGATTTGGTAAAATAATTCATAGATCTCCCAAATTCTTAGATCTTTAAAATATAATAAAATATTGTTATAACCTAATAGCATTAGTTAGGTCAATGGTTTACTATAAATAACATGTTATGGGGGAAATAAGTTTACTTTCCTGTATTACACTTTCCTTGTAATGGTTAAAATATCATTCCTTTGTTCGGTTTATGTCATCAACATTTGTACTGAACCAACTTTATAATGAAATATTCACTTTAGAATTAAACATAAAATCTGAATTAAACTTTTTGACTGAATCATATTGTTCTTATTCACCTTGAGCCCCAACAAATGGCTCAAGGCTGCATACGCCTTATCAAATAGTTAACATTTCATTGTATTTTTGAAAAAGGTATCAGAAACTCCATATTTTCTTCAGTCCTGTAATAGTAATGTGTGTTTAATAAACCACTTTTTTTTTTTTTTTTGAAAAAGAACATACTTTTATAGTTTGTTGGGGAGTATATTTAATTAATGATTTTTGAATCTGCAATTGATATATAGATCCAAACATAATGATAAAATCGGCAAATATTTTAAGATTTTTTCACAATTTTATGCATCTTTAATTTGTTTATAACAAACTAATAGTTTTTGTCATATTCATTTTAAAATTGCAACGCTCTGTGTTGGGTTTTGTCTTCAGGAAGGGGATCTGCAACGTGCCGTTCAGAGTTCCAACGTTGAAGAGCTGCGGACTGAGATTGAGGAACTTCACAAAGAGAAAACAGAGCTTAACCGAGTGCAGAGGCAGCTTGATGATGATATGCAGACGCTCAATGCGCACACAACTGCTCGCACGCAGATGGACATGCTGAAGAAAGATAAAGTATGAATTTATTGCTTTTTATTATATTGTTTATAATCTAATTCTTTTTGAGCCTCTATTTTCACTCTTTTTCTTTTAGTCTCTCTTTTAAATGCTGTTCCTGACCTCTGTCCTTTTGTGTCTTCTATTCCGTCCTTCTGACTTTTTCCAGATAGAGAAGGAGGAGCAGGTACGCAAAATAAAGTCTCGTCACGGTGACGAACTGGTGTCCCTCTTGGGCCATTTTCCCAACAAGCGAGAGCTGGAAGATTGGATCTATTCCAAGTCTAAGGAAATCAATAACACCAGGAACAGACTTGCTAAACTTAAGTGAGTAAGGTTTATTTAAAAAGAAAACACATGATTAATCTAAATAGCTTTATAACATATATGTCTTAATGTTTCAATGAATTATAGCAAGGACTTGGCATCAAGTGAGCAGAACAAAAGTCATATTACTTCAGAGTTGCGCAAGAAGGAGCAACAATTAACCAGCGATGAAGAGAAGTTCTTCAGTGTTTGTGGCAGTCAAGATCTGGAGCAGGATTTGGGAAAGCTGCAGGAAGATCTGGAGAAGATATCCAAACAAAGAGGTAAGAAAGTTTTGTGTGCAGCAATTTGTCTTGCTACTGAAATGGAGCAAGATAAACTTCCACTAGACAGAAGCAGAAGTAGACAGATCCAGAAATTTGGACTTATTGTTGACTTTTTGAGACGAGTAAGAAATTGTTTCCGCTACATATTTTCCAAAAAGAATTGGTTCAATATGCAGTGTTTGTTTTTATTAACAACAAGATTTTTTTTCTTGTTTTTTTTTTTTTTTTATGCAATATGCAAAATACGATAAGGGATATCGCAACTGGTCCAATTTTACAGGTACTTGCCCCTGCACCATCTGTGGGCCAGTGGCATTGCTCTCTCTCTCTCTTTCCTTCCCTCAAGGCACCACTAGGTCTCTGTGACTGGAATCGGAGTTGGGTAGGCTCAGAAGGTTGTCAAATGGGCACCCCCCTTCACTGGTGTTTCGTTGATTTAAGCCCATGACACCTCGGAGGGGCTCAACGGCAAATCCAGCGTCCTGGGCCCACCCCTACCGAACGCCACCCAACTCCTCATCCAGTTCTTCGTTCATTCAGTGCTTCGGTTCTGCCAGCGCACCTCGCGCTGCATCCAAATCCAGCGAGATGCCTCCTCCGCCCGCTTGGTGACGTTGGCTACAAGCCGCTTCCTGGCCAGCCCTTCAATCCCCAGCAGTCCAAGGGCTCTCCAGAGCGACCGTCCAGCAAAGCCTCTGCAGCCCACCTCCACTGGGAGATTCCAGGTCTTCCATCCATTTTGCTGGCTCTCTAGGATGAGGGCTTGGTATTTATTGAGCTTACGCTCATAGGCCTCCTCCATCCTCTCTTCCCAGGGGATAGTCAGCTCGATGAGCACCACCTGCTTGGTACCTTTAGACCATAGAACAATGTCTGGTCTCAGGCTAGTGTGGGCTATCTCCTCAGGGAATTTGAGCTGCTTTTTTAGGTCTGCCCGCATCTCCCAGTCATTTGCCGTGGCCAGGACCCCCTTGCTCTTCCCTCCCACTACTCCACTTTCTCCTGCCCTGGTAAAATGTATGAAACAAGGCCCTTTGGACAGCTGTCTTGCCCTTTTCCTTGCCTGCTCGATGCCGTCGGCCAATTGAGCAAGGATCTGGTCATGACGCCACCGGAACTTGCCATCTGCTAAGCTTGAGTGACATGAAGAGAGGACGTGCTCAAGGTTAGCTGTCCTTCCACAGAGCTTGCAGCTTGGGCTCTCGACCATTCCCCAGGTGTGGAGGTTTGAGGGAGTAGGTAGGACGTCATAAACAGAGCATAAAAGGAACTTGATGTGGTGGCCTTCCATGCTCCAGATGTCCTGCCAAGTAAGAGCCCTCTCTCTCGCACTCTCCCATCTAGTCCAGCTGCCTTGTTTGTTCATGGCTACAGCCTTGACATGCCGGCTTTCCTCCTCCACCCTTCTGACCTCTTTCTGCACCAAGCCTCGCCTCTCCCTTGGATCCGCTTTGTTCCAGCTTGTTCTGGTGAAGCAACCTAAACCCAGCCTTCCCTGGGCTACCGACCCGACAATGTCTGCGTGATTCAGTCTGTCCTCGGCCTCCTTCAGTGCTCTGCTGGCTGACCACTTTCGGCCTGTCCAGATGACGATGTCTGCCTGACGTACTCTCACGTCTTTACTGTCTCCCAGCATCATGGCCTGGCGTGTTTTTGTCGCCTTGTACTCTTCCACCACTGATGTTATTGGCAGCTGTAGCTTGCTGCCTGTGCTGTACAGGCCAATGGAGCAAAAGCTTTTTGGGATGCCCAACCATCTCCTCAGGTAGGTGTTCAGCTTCCTCTCCAGTCCCTCAACAGTGGAGACAGGTACCTCATAAACCAGGAGAGGCCAGAGCAGTCTGGGGAGAACCCCATGTTGGTAACCCCAGGCTTTGTACTTGCCCGGGAGGCTGCTCTTCTCGAGAGATGTCATCCAAGTTTCTGCCTGGCTAAGCAGCTCCTTCACACTCTGCCTGTCATTGAGGTCCGCCCTGTACCACTTTCCCAAGCACTTCACAGGCTTTTCTTGGACAGTTGGGATCGTGTTCTCTCCAATTTTGAAGTGATACCGATCCTGAACGCGCCCCTTCTTCAGAACCAGGCTTCTAGATTTTTCTGGTTTGAACTCCATCCTTGCCCAATTGGTGATCTCAACCAAGTCCTCCAGAATCCATCTTCCTTCTGGTACTGATCTTGCTGTTATGGTGAGATCGTCCATAAATGCTCGAATAGGCAGCATCTGGACTCCACTTGCAAGTACTGCACCTCGACGCAACTTCTCTGCTGATTTGACGAGAAGGTTCATCGCTGCGGAAAAAAGGATCACTGAAATCGTGCAGCCTGTGACAATGCCCACTTCCAGTCTCTGCCAGTTGGTGGTAAACTCCCTACAGGTGAAACGCATGTTGAATCCGTCGAAGTAGTATTGCAGAAGCGCCTGAAATCGCTTAGGTATATGGTAGGTCTTCAGCGTCAGCTCCACTAGCTTGTGGGGTATTGTTCCATAAGCATTTGACAGATCCAACCACAGTACTGCCAGGTTGCCATGGTTTTTCTTCGCGTCCTCAATGATTTTGGAGATAACGCTGGTATGTTCAAGGCAGCCAGATATCCCTGGAATGCCCCCTTTTTGTACCGCAGTGTCCATGTACCCGTTCTCCAACATAAAGGTGGTCAACCTCTTTGCCAGGATCCCCAGGAAGATCTTAGCTTCCACATTGAGCAGTGAGATGGTGCGAAACTGCTTGATCCCTGAAGAGTTCTCCTCCTTAGGGATGAAGCACCCCTCTGCGATCAGCCAGTCATCAGGAAGGTAGTTCTTCTTCCATGCCACTGTCAGTAGCTTCCAGAGTTGTCTCCTGAGCCTTTTGCAATGCTTGTAAACACTGTATGAGATGCCATTTGGCCCTGGAGCCGATTTTCCTCTGGCTTTCTTTAGAAAGCTGTTAACTTCCTGCCAGCTTGGTTCCTCTGTCTTGAAAGGGATTGTTGGTTCGGCTGGTTTGATGAGCTTTTCCATCTCATCCAAACTGACCTCCCTTCTGGGATCACTATGAACCTGACGAAGATGTTCCTCCACCTCCTCCTTTGTTGCTTTCAACTCCCCTGATCTTTTGTCACCCAGGAGTTTTGACAGGTATTGGAATGGATTCTTGGTGAAAGCTGCCCTTTCTTTCAACCGCCGCTTCCTGTCCCTGCGGTGACACTCAGCTCGTCGCAAGATCTTAATGCGCTCCCTCAGATTCTTCCAGAGTTCTGTGAGTGCTGGTTTCTCATTTGGTGTTGCTTTGCGAAAGGCCTTCTTCAGCCTCCGCAAGTCCCCTCTCAGGGTTGCTATCTCCTTCAGGCGTCTATTCTCTTTGAGCTGGGTGTCTGCTCTGCCTTTCAGCTCTTTCCTTCCGAAGCGCTCAGCACCCATGCTCCAGATTATAGAGGACATGGCCTTGAGCTTCTTCCCCACATCTCCTGCAGTGGCTGCTTCCAGCACCTGGTCCACGTCGCGATCAAACATCTCCCATTCTTTTGTTGCAGCTGCATTTGGCCAGTTCACACGTTGTTTCCGGACGTCTCCTTCACAAGTGATCTGCGCAAGCTGCCTGTTATACTGAGTCACTTCACTCTCACTCTGTTGCCTTGCTGCCTCCGTCACATCAGCGATGCTGCTCCTGCTTCCCTCCTCGTCATGTGCCTGGAGATTCTGGAGACTGTGGTTTGTGTCCTGCCCCGGCCTCTCCTCCGTCTCACCAGGTTTCCCTGTGCGTTGCACATTACTTTCAGGTTGTAAGCACTTCATCTTTGTCTGATGTATCTTCAGCCCTTTCTCATTTTTGCATTTCTTCCCACATCTACAGACCCGGGATAAATCGCTTGGCTGTTCCGTAGTCGTTTGTCCGTTAATGGTGGTCATAACGTTGTTCTGTCCTGTGGGTCGATCATCCTCCCCCGCTCTCGCTCGGCCCCGGGGGTATCTTGTAATATACCTTTCCATAGCGGTTGTTTGGGTTTTCTCCTCACGGAGAGTGTGGTTGGCCTGCCAAGCCGCCACACCCCAGCTCTGGTCTTTCCCAGATGTCAGCAGTCTTTCCTCGCTGTCACCATTCTTCCTCGGTTGCCAACTTGTCTTTCCAAGTGGTCACTGGGTCTGCCAGAAAGGAATATGCAAAATACGATAAGGGATATCGCAACTGGTCCAATTTTACAGGTACTTGCCCCTGCACCATCTGTGGGCCAGTGGCATTGCTCTCTCTCTCTCTTTCCTTCCCTCAAGGCACCACTAGGTCTCTGTGAATGGAATCGGAGTTGGGTAGGCTCAGAAGGTTGTCAAATGGGCACCCCCCTTCACTGGTGTTTCGTTGATTTAAGCCCATGACACCTCGGAGGGGCTCAACGGCAAATCCAGCGTCCTGGGCCCACCCCTACCGAACGCCACCCAACTCCTGATTTTTACTTTATTGTCAGACAAAATACTCCCTGCCTCAGGCGGAATATTCTCTATTCTTGTGCAGAGCTGCCGTTAAAGTTTTGGAAACGAAGAACGTTTTAACAAATTTGCTGCTTGAGTGTTTGTGGATATTTCTGTTTGAAGATTTTGTGATGCTAGGAAGTTGAGATTCTTGCAAGCTCCCTGCATAAGGAAACTTTCTCACACTCTAACATTTGGTTGTTCCTAAGAAAAAACACTTCACAATTCACCAAGGACATAAATTTTAGCCAGATAAACACGGGCTAAAACAGGTCTCCCGTTCACACAGGAAGGAGGCTGTGTGGCCTAATTCTCATCTCTCATGACCTTTCCTTCACCGTTGTCCAGAGTAAGGAGGCCTCTGCTTTCTGTCCCCCTACCTTAAACAATACAGCATAGAGGCTGGTACAAGATTTCTCTGAACTTACTCCTATTCAGGCAGGCAGACTCAAAACATTTGATCTCACAAATAGCCCAAGAAAAAATATGCTTCCACAATTTGAACAGTAGTAAATGTTTATTTGTAATCTACTGAGGCTTTTCTTGAAGCATAATACGTCTTGTCAGCCCTTTCCCTCATAAAAAAGGTGTACAAAAGTCTCACTCCCATCAGCTTGCTTCCTCAGATCCCTGGAATGGTTGGCACTCAGTAGCTTTGTTCAAACAACTCCTTCATTGATTGAATAAATTGTTTCAGGTGCAATTCTATGAGCAGCAGTTGTTTAGCACATGTTTCCTTGAAAGTTATCTGTGCCTAACAAAAGAGGGCCACCACAATGAATGCTGAAGTTTTTTTGTCAGTCTTATACAACCAGTATGCCAGAGTTTCTAATATTTCCTCCTTTTCCAATCGCCCTGATAAAGCCATGTTAGCAGGAGCTACAGCAGTGTACACCCAGTTCATCAGCCAACTGACAGAGGAGAGGGAGCCCTGCTGCCCTGTCTGCCAGAGGACTTTTCCTTCAGAATCTGATCTGCAGGAAGTTATCAGCGACATGCAATCCAAGCTACGACTGGTTCCTGACAAGCTGATGAACACAGAGCAGGACCTGAAGAGAAAGGAGAGGAAGAGGGATGAAATGATCTCTCTCAGACCTGTGAGGTATGTTGATTCAGGATGAAGCATTGAACTGACACGTGATCTAAAATTATCATGGAGCTGTATCATAAAAAGACGGGGGGGGGGGGGGGTTTGTAAAAACTATATGATCTTTTCCAGTTTTTGTATCTGTTTTAACACTCAATTAGCACCATGGCAATACCCATAGGCACTCTTAATTATCTGCATAAAAACCTTTTTTACATAACCTTGTAAGATGATGATTAATGCTACATTTGATTAGCGAAACAATGTATATATATTTTTTTTTATATTTGTTTTACTCAAAGCTATTATTGATGATAAAGAAAACAAAAATAGCAAATCTTGTCAATAAATGTATACATCTAGCAAAACTGATATTATTAGGGACGGAACGGTTTATGAAAACCGTCCGAACCGTTCGGTTCGACTGTCTCGGTTCGGTTCGCGTGTGTTGCGTTCAGTTCGTGCGCTGCTCCTTTTCTCATAGGCGAAGCTTTTACACTCCTGAGCAGAAGGTGGCGGTACTGCGACCAAAGCCAACCACCAGTAGTAAACAAGAAGAAGAAGTGAAGCAGCGTAGCCGGGTGTAGCAGAAAAAAATCTGTTTTGAAGAATTGTGTGGGTATGGCGAGTGGGGAAGAACAGGCGTTGGAAGACGCGCCAGCAGCACTTTATAGGTCTGCTGTATGGAACCACTTTGCATTTAGAGTGATCTACGATGACGGCGGAAAGAAAGTTGTGGATTAAAGTGCAACAGTGTGCAAGCATTGTGCAACACGTTTTGTTTATGCTAACAGCAACATGACCAACATGTCATTCTAACGCCAAAATCCCACATGCTCCGTCAGCTCTCCGCCCCGCTGCGCTCCAGACTGCCTGTGCAAAGCAAAGCCTATAGCCTCCACTGTGGCTCCCGTCCGCTCCGCTCTGAGTTCCTTGGAGATTATAGAGGGCATGCGCGAGATGATTAAATTCAAAGCAGCAAAACATGCGGAAATGATCCAGGGTTTCCGCGGATCATTAAAAATAATTACAATTTATTAATTTTGGGGGATTTTTTTCATTAATTTCATTAATTTTTATTCTCTCATAAATTTTTAAAAAAAATTTTATTTTTCGGTGTAACAATAAACATATACCGAACCGAACCGAAAACCGTGACCACAAAACCGTGAACCGAATCGAACCGTGGATTTTGTGAACCGTTCTGCCCCTAGATATTATACATAAAAACCAGTCTCCTTTTGATCTAAAGCACCAACTCATATCACCAAAATATTTCATAAAAGATAATCATTACAAAATGACTATGATGTTAAAATCCCCCACTATGATGACCCTGTCAGTATTCAACAGCAAATTAGACAGGAACTATAAAAACTGATCGAAAAATGGAGAGTAAGGACCTGGTGGATGATACAAAGTTATAAAGAGGTTTTGTGGCTTTGCAATTTGGATGAAGGGAAACTAAGGGTTAAATGTTCAAAAGAGTTATTAATTATTAACTGACTTTGGAGTTAGTTAGACTGTTAGAAAGTTAGACTGAATCTTTCCCGTCACGCTTCAGTCCATCAAGGCAGAAAATGTCCATCCAAGTTATGTCATGCTGTAAAACTGATAAATAGATAATTATGTAATTTTTATGTGAAAAATTGTCACATTTATAAGAAGAAAGTTTCCTATTCGTGCCAGATAACAATCTTGTCATAATGAGATACAGCTCCATAATAATTTTAGATCATGGGTTTTTTCTACGCTTCTGTAGCTCAGGCTTCTTTGCTGGAGAAAAAAAATGCAAATAAAGCTGTAAAGAGATAAATCTTTAAAGAAATGCAGAGATAAATATAATTCTTAGAATTAGTGATATTTCTGCATTTATTGGCTGGTTGTCCTGCTAGGTTACACTGTTTTTTATTATAGATTTATATACCGTATTTTCACGACCATAAGGCGCACCGTACTAAAAGGCGCACTCTCAGTTATGTGTCCCATTTCTGTATTTAACACACACATAAGGCGCACCGGACGCGTTTTTTATATACAGGTACATGTCCTCTACTACCTTTAAATACCTCTACTGCGTATTTAAAAATACAGCGGGGGCAAAACTGAGTATGACTGTGCTTTATTCATGTATTTATTACAAAGTATTAATCAAACCTGGGTGCTGGCCATGAGACAGACACATCGCAGATGACACAGCGCTGTGGTCACTCCTAAATTAACTTAAAATCCTGAAACCTGCCGACGGAATTTGTTCGCTTTTATTACCGCTATCCTGGTGCCTGCAGTTTAAATTATTTAGATGAAAAACACCTGCCAGCAGCCGCGGTGAACTTGGAGGCTACCCGGCCTAGAGGCTGCTGATGAAGGGATTTCTACTGTCGGTGCACCGCTGGTATGTGGGGGTCTGAGCGCCTCTGACAGAAATAGATAATCTGGATGAACTGACTGCAATTATGAAGTTTTCAGGTGGACTTTCTCACTTAAAAACATATTAAAACTACTTTATTCCCCCTGATCACAGCAAATATAGCTGCAAGATTTAGATTATTTAGATGAAAAAACACCTGCCAGCCGCCGCGGTGAAGAGGAGGAGACCCGCCCAGAGGCTGCTGTTGAATTAAGTTTTCAGGTAGAAAAATAGAGCGGGAGCAAAACTGAGTATGATTGTGCTTTATTCATGTATTTATTACAAAGTATTAATCAAACCCATCAAAGTCATCATCCTCTGTTTCTGAATTAAACAGCTGTGCTAAATCAGACATGCCAGTTTCCCCTTCTTCGCTGTCAGAGTCACTTTCCGTGCAGCGCGGCTCCTCAGAAATAATGCCGGCTTTTGCGTAAGCTTGAACAACAGAGCCAGCAGACACGTTAGCCCAAGCATCTACAATCCATCCGCTAACGGTGGCGTAACTTGCCCGGCGCTGCCTTCCACTTATCGTGAAACTGGTCTCCGTCTGTCATCCATCGCTCCCACGCCGCTCGCAGCCTTACTTTGAACGGCCGCTTCACACCGATGTCGAGCGGTTGAAGTTCCTTTGTCAGACCCCCGGGATAACGGCGAGCACAGCGTTCATTTGTTTCACCTTTTTTTTCACATCGGCTGTGAGATGGGCACGCAGCGATGGTGATGCGTGGAAAAAAGCACCTGGTCTCCTCACATAAGCTACACCTCCCTCAGCTACGCTTTCATCATCTCCTCATCCATCCAGCCTTTTCCATTTGCGTTGATATCATATGTCATCAGAGCGCTGTGTCTGTCTCGCTGTCAGCTCCCAGATCAGCTTCTCTGATTGGTTGATGCGGCGCGTCCAGCAGCAAAACTTAAATTTTTCCATAGCAGCAGTAGCGCGTTGGCGGTGCGTCAGATGCTTAAACGCTCCCGACGCGCTGCGCCTGCTGCTCAAAACGCGCTGCGGGACCTTTTGCTGCACCTATACGCGCGTCAACCATTGACTTTGCATGTAAACTCGCTGCTTCTGCTGCACCTGCTGGGTCCGGTTCACACCGATGTCGAGCGGTTGAACAGCGAGCACAGCCTTAATTTGTTTCCCCATGTTTTTCACATCAGCTGTGAGATGGGCACGCATGGAGTTACATATTAACAGCGATGGTGATGAGTGGAAAAAAACACCTGGTCTCCTTACATTCAGCCACTCTTTCATCATCTCCTCAATGAGGTGGTCTCAAAAGTCGCAGTTACAACACACATAGGGCGCACCGCACCAAAGGGCGCACCGCACATTTTGAGGGAAAAAAAAGACGTTTAAGTGCGCCTTATAGTCGTGAAAATACGGTACTAAAAACGTGTGCTACTTTTAAAATTAAAAAAATCATTGTGGGTTATGTAAATATTGTTTAGGTTCTGCTAAGCTGATATATTTTCTACAGATGTCACCCTGATGTTTTTAACAGTTTACTAAAGAAAATATATAGAAAACTACCATGAATGCAACACTAACAAAAATATGGTATTGTTTAGACCTTTGTTCTTTTATGCACCTGCTATTGTAGTTTGTTTTTATTTTTTTTTTCATCTTTGTAGTTTTCTATTTTGTTTTATTTTTTTACTTGCAAATTACAGTATTGTAATTTGGAGTAGTTTTACTGAAGATCCAACCAGTTCCACTAGATGGAGCTCAGTTCTCACTGGATGAGATTGTAACCTTACAAGATAAACTAAATCTGACACCATGCAGTTTTTTAAATGTTTTATTTTCTTTTTTTTAAATCTATATATTAAACTTGAACATAGTCTAATTGGACAATTGATGAGGTATACCCTGCTAAACCCAGGTTTGACCCCCCTCTCCAATGAGATCTACCTTAACTGTAGCCTGCAGTGTCTGATTGGTGTTTAGCTGCTACAAAGGGTTTTAAAAGATTCAATGAAATATTTCCAATGCCATTACTGGATGGGACAAAGCTAACAATTTAAAGTCTGTCCTTGTTTTCTTATTTTCATGGATGAAATCGAGGCTAATGGGACCAAGCTGAGGCTGGGCAATTAAATGCATTTGCAGTGTAACCTGAATTTAATAAAATACAATTTTCTCATTGCAGAGGCACTCAGTTTCGGTCACATTTAAATTGAGAGTGGAACACAAAATATCCCACTCCAGCTCTTTTGGTGGTGGTAAAATGCTTAAAAAGAGTTTGCAGCCACACAAAGGAGAAAAGAGGCACAAATGAAAGGTTACAGCAAAGTCCTGCAACAATGAATTCTGGAAAAGCAAGCCTTTAAGGTCATGAACAAATTGAAACCCTGAAACCAAACATCTACATGCTTGCAGTTAGTGCAAAGGAAAAGTGAAATAAAATCACTATCATAATATTAGTTTAAAAGAGTTGCAATGTTGAAATGTATTAAAGTATTCAGCCCTAATCTAAGCTGACAAAAGTGGCACCTATTGTGATCTTTCTTCACTGTGTAGATCGTCCGCTTCAGGATTTTATGTGTTGTGTCTTCAAACATTTTAATTTACACTACTGCTGCTTATTGGATATTTTTTTATTTAAAATGTAAAAAAAATGTACAGACTTTTTTTTATGTGTTTATTTGCAGACAGTCCATTGTTCAATTTCAAGAGAAGGAGCTGCCTGAGCTGAAGAACCGGCTTCAGAGTGTCAACAGAGAAATCGAGAGGCTCAAGGCTGATGTAGAAGAGCAGGAGACTCTTCTTGGTACCTTAATGTCTGAGGAGGAAACTGCAAAGGCCTGCCTGCAAGACATATCTCTAATGGACAGATACCTGGTATCACTGTTCAATCCTTCTCTGATCTATTCACAGTTTCTGACATACATCATTATCATGTTATGAACACTATGCATTAATATTTCTAGCATTCAACCTACACCAAACCGGTCCCTTTATCCACAGGAGCTCATCTGCTTTTTGGGGAAATTGGCAAAGATTAATCCTAGCTAATTCATGATTTTTGATAATAAAAACCCCCAAATATAGTGTCTCACAAATTAGATTATTACATAACATTAATAAAGATTACGTTTTAAATAGAACCGTCAGGCTCATGAAAAGTATTTTGAGCTTTTTGCATCCAGTTCTTCGTTAGATCTCCCGTAAATTACTGCATCAATGTGCCATGACATGGAAGTAAGCCTTACTTATCACATATTTGGGCTCAGTTCACTCCGAGGAGGTCCACGTGTCCTCAAGGGTATAGACAGAGTTGAAGTGGACATCCATCTGACTGGTCTCATGATCAGTTTTGACGTGTGTTGTGTTGTACAATAAATTGCATCAGTCACATAAACAATGGTTCCATCAAAGTGTTTTGGATGTGACACCAAGCAGATAGGTTGAGAACTGGTGCCATCTTCTGGATGAAATGGAGTCCAAATCTGAGAGCTTCCTGTTGAGGAAGTTAGGAAACATTAAAACTCGTATGACACACCAATGAGGGAAATAAGGACTTTGAAAGTTCAAAAGATTAATGGGATATGTCCGACCTATTTTTCTATGTTGTCTTTACTGGACAGCTCTGTAAAATGATTCCAGGAGACGGAGAAAGATGTACCTACTAAAAGACACATCTCCTCCTCTTGGCCATAGACACTATTATTGAAAGTATTAAGTCTCAACTGTCTGCAGACAGATTGTGTCGAGTTTGTATGGCTCATGGTACGCCAGATTATGTGAGGGCCTTTAGGCTGCACTACATCACTACTGTTGTGGTAATACCTGTTGCTTGTACCCTCTTCCTTATTTCTTCATCTCAGCTTTATCTGAATATGCTGGGATAAAGGACTGAGAACCAGCTTCTTTAGCACTGAACTGTTGTGGCCCACTGACCTAGTGGAAGGTGACTGTCTTCTGGACTTCTGTCAAGTCGGCATTTTAACTGGATTATGCTGCCACCTTCTGTCCGAGATTGACCTAAAGATCAACAGTCTCAAACTCTAATCCTTGAGGGCCGAAATCTGAACTTTAAGGACTTCACACATCTACATCAAAAGGGAAAACTGACTCACTAGCATGAAGTCAGCAGCTACAGAGCTCTGCTAATGATCTTATATTTTACTCAGATGTATTGAAGAGTCAAAGAGTGGAGATCGACATCAACAATTTAGAGGCTCATGAAACCTTCAAAGCTGTTTTGAATCAATCAGCTGATTAGGATGTTTTATAGACAAAGAGTCTATAGTATTTGACTTTGAAATTTGTCGTTATCTGTAGACCATAATCCTAAAAATGGATAAATAAAATCTGGAAATAATGCACTCTTCTGATTTTAGTTTTACTTTCCAAACTGAGTAAAAAAAAAATTCCAAAGTTGTCCTTTTTTTTTTTGTAGATGTGCCTGTATTCTGGTCTCCTTAAAGGGATAGTTTGGGATTTTTGACATGAATCTGTATGGCATCCCCATCACCAGTGTCATGCAATCACACTGACTTACCCCTGGCAGCATCCTGTGAGCAGAGTTCTCGTCCAGCTTTGGTCAAGCTGAAAGTAGTCCGGCAGGTTTGCTAGACCCAGCGAAATAAAACGTTTCTCTTCCCAAAACATTATGTGTTGAAAAGAGTGATATTTTTGCATCCCAAAAACATTGTAGTGGAAAAAGTCACACGTCGTTATCACTTGGTCCTATTTTCTCTCTGTTCGTATCAGTGCGAACCACCTTGGATATCGCAGCTCCAGCTGTGGCTCCTGCGGCTCCGGCTTCAGCTTCCATCACTTCTCTGTCCACCCTCTCTCTTTCTGCCCGATCTAACTCCATTTGTCGAAGTTCATCGTCAGTGTACTCGGGTTCATAAAGATATCCCTTTGGCTCTAAGTGGAAGTCGATATTTTCCTCGTCGCTCTCGTAGTCAGACATCTTCCCCAGTAGTAAACAATCGCGAATCAAACAGGTAGGCCCTAGCTGTCAGGTCATGGTGTCGCGCGCACTGATACGAACAGAGAGAAAATAGGACCAAGTGATAACGACGTGTGACTTTTTCCACTACAATGTTTTTGGGATGCAAAAATATCACTCTTTTGAACACATAATGTTTTGGGAAGAGAAAAGTTTTATTTCGCTGGGTCTAGCAAACCTGCCGGACTACTTTCGGCTTGACCAAAGCTGGACGAGAACTCTGCTCACAGGATGCTGCCAGGGGTAAGTCAGTGTGATTGCATGACACTGGTGATGGGGATGCCATACAGATTCATGTCAAAAATCCCGAACTATCCCTTTAATCTTTAGTTAAACTCAGTAGTTGCTGCAGTGGTAAAAACCTTTTTCAAATCGACACTAATTTTCCACACTGCAAAAAAATTTTAATCTAAATAAGTTATTTCTTCTTTTTATTGAATTGAAGGGTAAAATGAGACACTTTGCATATGGAACAAGACAATTTACATTTAAAATAAGAAAATTATATTATATGGTCTTATTTTAGTGCACATTATCTAATTATCTTATTTTAAGGGTCAAAATACTAATTCCATTGGCAGCTCATCTTGTTTACCTGCTCAAATTAAGGCTAAATATTCTTAATTTAAGAAAGTTTAATTATTTGCTGATTGTTTTTGCAGTGCAGGCTTTATTTTGTGTGTAAGATTTCCATAGCCATCCTTCCAGCCTTGATTAAAGGCTGTAAAAGCTTGGTTCTGTTGTAGAACCAGTTTTCAAAGGCAGCCTGATGCTTAAGCAGCTACAGTGCATCCAGAGAATATTCACACTGCTGTGCTTTTTCCATTTTTAGTTTGAGTTATTCTTAAATTTTTTCTATCTTTTCAGAATGGAGTATTGTGTGTAGGAGTTTAAGGAAATCAATTTATTTAATATAATTGGAAATATGGCTGCAACACAACTAAATATCAAAAAAAGTGCAGTCCTTTGAATACCTTCCAGATACACAGTAAGTCTGGCACAGATTTCCAACTGCTTTGTTGGAAATTCCCTTAAATTACAGCCCGAAAGCAGGTTTTCTTAGTAGAATATTGCGCAATAACAAGAGTAGCGGTGTCATTTAATCAACCTTTAAGTGACCATAATGGTATTTTCTTAAGGTTTGTATTAATCCTTTTTTATACATTATAGTCAACTTACAAAAAAACAAAACAATTAACACCTTTTTCAGCTAAAACTATTTTGTTTGTTTTATTTACTTGAAAAAAGATTATAAATCTCACCAACAACAAGAGAAACATCCTATTAATGATATGCTTTTGACAAATGTTGGTAGGTCATCCTGTATTGTGTGCCATTGTGAATGTTTTGCACTTTTCCAGATGGACCTGCAGATGCTGGAGAGAAAAATTGCTCAGCAGTCAGCTAAACTCCAGGGAGTAGACCTGAGCAGAACCATCCAGCAAGTTAGTCAGGAGAAACAAGAAACCCAGCACAAACTTGACACCAGTACGTTGTTTGTTTTTTCTAATTCACAAACTCCCATCCGTCCCTACAATCTCGATCTTTTATTTTTGCATTTAGTTCTTAAATTTGCCTGACTTGCTGACCAATAAGTTGCCAAAAATCAGCTAAACCCCGAAGAACCCAGTAATGCATATTTTTTTTGTAATAAACTGTAAAGGAAAAAAATTCAAAAACCTTTTAGCATGGTTTAACAAAAACACGCTTTCAGACATGGAATCGATAATTATAACATTTTGAAATCAAAAACAATTTATCAGAGTTTCTGTTGGGTATTAAAAAAATAAATTAAAATCTGTAAACTCAACTTAAAGCCTTTAAAGTTGGTATTGTGTCTCTTGATTCTCTTGCAATATCTTAAATTGCATTTAATTAGTACATGTACTGCTTTCTACTAACTAGAAGTTGACTTGATTCTGATAGAGAAAATGTGAAGGGAGAGAAAAATTAGGGTGATGGCAAGGAGGCCTTTCAAATTGCCTGTTGAAACTGGTGAGCAATTATTAGAGGGATGTGATGCCGCGAAAGATTCCTCAATTGATTTTTTTTTAAAAAGGAAAACATTTTTTTATGTTTTATTATTATTTCATTTTAATAACGACAAAGAATTTATTTTCAAAACTCTATTATATATATATATATATATATATATATTTATATATATATTATAGTTAATTAATTTTTATTTTTTTACAGACCCATATCAGAGACTTATCTTGCATTTGGGAGTCATAGTTCCCTTTTTGATACACCTCCAAGCTCGCAGCAGATTCTGTCATACAATCCATAATAACATTTTTCTGTTTTAAGTCATTGGCTCCGTCTCTTTCCAGCTTCTAGCAAAATGGAGCTGAAACGCAAGCTGATCCAAGACCAGCAGGATCAGATTCAGATCTTGAAAAGTGCCGTCAATGAAACGAAGGCAGAGAAGCTCCAGCTTAGCAGCGACATGCAGAGGCAGCAGCAGCTGGAGGAGCAGTGTGTTGAATTCACTGCAGAGATACAAGCTTTAACGAGAGACATCCGGGTAATTTTTAGTGGTTTATGGGGTTTTTCTTATGATAATTTACTTTTCACATATATAACATTTTATTGTCTACATACAGACACATTAAGTGAAATAGAATATAATTGAAAACTTAGCTTATTTCAATAAAGTAATATGAGTTTTTTTAGATTAAGAAATATTGATTTTTCTTCTAACATCTGATGAAAACAAAACATAAAATTTAAGAATATTAAGTGAAAAGTGTTTTTATTTCAACGTCACATTGTTGTATTCTTCTTATTCTGAAATGTTTTGTATTTGTAGGGGAAGGATGGATTTTTTCCATTGCTATTTAACATTTATTTACCTTTTCCTAAATATTGTAAAACAGGAAGCGAAGGAGCAACTGTCCCCTCTATCTGTTGCTTTGGATAAGCTGCAACAAGAGAAACAAGAGCTGATGGAGCGCAAGAAGCAGACACAGGAAGAAGGCCAGGAGAAGGTTGATGCTGACTCGCGTTTTTATCTCTGTTGACGTCATATTCACTTTTCTTTTTTTTTTCTTTTTTTTTTACATGTGACTGTAAAAGACAGATACTGATCTGCTCTCTCTGTGATCCCCTTCGACTTTTTGTAATTCTTTCATGTTATCTGTCAATGTTATTCCCCTCTCCCACAAGGTTTAATTATATTGTATACAATGGAAGATCCTTTACTATTAAATACTTAAAACAAATGCATAAGTATACTAGTGTAAAACCATTTAGATTTTCACCATTGTTTTCACTGTTTTGGACAGATCAGTGTCATAAAAGAGAGGGTCAAAGCCGTCTCCATGTTGGAGCGAGACATCAAAAAATACGTAGATGAAGGAAAAGATGAATATAAAGAGGTAATGTGTTTATTAATTACCTTTCTCTTATATAGTTCACTTTCTTAAAGCAAATCACTGTTAATCTGTTACATGTAAATCTTATCCCGTATGTTTTGTTTTTATTTTCTTTAAACTGATTCAAACAATTGTTTGTTTATCAGCAAAAAGAATCAGAGCTTCAAGAAACCAACACTCAACTCCACGAGGCTGAGAAGCAGAAAGAGAAAATTAGTAAGGAGATGGGAAACATCCGTCAGGACATAGACACTCAAAAGGTACAAACTTTGGGCTCATTTCAAATCGCTCAACATTAGAGTTTAAATAGCAAATAAGGAAGCTGCTTATATTGACATATAATATATTGACAAAAACTGGACAAGTAAAGCCTCAAAACTTTGGTTGAATTTTAATAATTTTTATTACCTCTTACTTGTATTTTCTTTTCAGGTTCAAGAGCGCTGGTTGCAAGACAATCTAACATTACGGAAGCGGGTTGAGGAGTTGAAGGAGGTTCTAGCTAAACGAGAAGCTCTCATGAAAGACATGGGCAACATGCAGGTGCTGCAGCTGCGCCAGTAAGAGAACTTCAAACTAGTATAAGTCTGTCAAATGAATGCAACAGCTGCCAGTTCAACATGGCATTGCACAATGTATCACAGATACATCGATATCACTGTATCTGTGTGTGTATGTTCAACCCAAAGCACCGATACTGCACAATATGCTAATATATATTTCAGCAGTCATTAATCTACATTTTACTTGTGCCAGCATGACAGTCTAACAGCAGAGGATGCTCACGCTGGATATAAGACATTGTTCAAAATGCTAATAATGTGCAATCCTAGTTCACGATACCCGAAGACTAACAGTCTCTGAATATTTTTAATGTTAACATTACATGTTAATGTGATTTTTATTTTTTTTTTTATTTTAGTGAACGTCGTGATGCAGAACGCAAGTTAGAGGATTTGAAGAAGAACCGGAGCATCGCGCAGGGTCGGCAGAAAGGCTTTGAAGAAGAGATACTGAATTACAGGTCAAATAAATAGAAATGTCAGGCAAATTGTTTTTAATCATAAAAATCTGTTTAGAAGGCAGGGCTGGATCCTTTCAACCCATAGAAAGCTTCTTGGAAAGGCCATTAAAAGTAAAACGGACACATTGAGTGTTCTATCCATCATTCAGTCCAGACTACACTGCTTCTTGGTTTTCTGGAATGATGGTGATTAATAACATATTGAATAAAGCATGCTGTGTCTATAAGATGAGTGCTAACTAAAAAGTGTGCTGTTTAGGAACATATTTGATATATGTAGCAACAGAAAGACTTCACTCTGTGTATAACATAAAATCTGACCTTTAAATAATTTCTTACAGAAAAGAGTTGAGAGAGGACCAGTATGACAAAGCTGATGAGCGCTACAAAAACAAGATGATCACGATGAGGACCACAGAGTTGGTCATAAAGGACCTTGATCTCTACTACAAAGCCCTTGATCAGTAAGTTTTACTTTAAAAATTGTAAATGTCAGATATATAAGATCAGGCAACAAGCCAATATATGCAGATGTGCAGTGGAGAAATGCATACATCAGACCTGTCAGGGACAGAAATGGCCCTGAGTTGTTGGTCTGTCTGCTGGATGGGGGCCACTCAGGGACTCATCTCTACTTCAGACTGAAGTCACTGACATTTTCAGACTTGAAAACTATGGGTGAGACTGTATTCATACCAGCCACAGGAAGGTCTACTTTAAACAGTCCGGTATTCATCTCCACCCTCTGATTCAGACCTTTTGGCAAATATTATTACTCTTAACCCTGACAGAAAACAGACAACTGTACAAAAGACCCACTTTCTTTGTGCTAATTATGTGAATACAAACCATCGTTGATCCAATCAAGCTACAGCAAGCATACCTCTATTTGGACAGAATGAAATATAAAAAAAATCATACCTGATCTGTCATCTGTTGTTTAGCAACAGTGCTGCCAGCATGATGCAGCTTTCTCTCAGCTGGCAGGAGGCATTATCCAACAAGCGGGGGGAAATTGCAATAATCTATATCACTACATTTTTTATTCAAACACATCCATGCAAAATGAAAGCATCAGTCCACATCCTCATCTTCAAGATCCACCTTTATTTTGAAATTCACAAGACTATAGTGAACAAGTGATGTATTGGTATTATTGTTTTTCAAAATAAGATTGCTGTTTTGGCTTAAATGGCTTACATCTGAAAGAGTGCAGAAATAAAATGGTCAAGTCATATTTTGAGTTGTTTTTGCAGAGTTAAAATCTTTGTAAATAATTTTGTTAGAAAGGCAGAACATATTGGCATCCAGTTGATGATTTACATGCCTATCTCCGACAGCATTCTAAAATTAGAAATGAACCATCTCTGAACCTGCTTTAAATGAACTGCTCTGGGGGGACCCATGTTGATTTTGCTGCTGTTAATGCAGAACCTACATGTAGAACAGAGGTGCTGTATGAGGGACCCCAATAGTAGCTTTCCTTCTTTTCGTGTGTCTGTGCTTTCTCTCCCTCTTGTCATTTCTGTCCAATGGGGAAAAACGATTCTCAGACATGGTTTTTCTTAAGTTATTGTAAAAAATGTACAGTGTTAAAGCTCACAGCACAGAAAAGAATAAAACCTGCCTTTTACTAGAATAAACATAATGGATGTCTAAAAATGGATTTCAGATCTTCATATTACCATTGTTACTGGTCAGCATTTGTATTATTTTGACTATAAAGAAATGTATGTCATAAATGCATATGTAGTTAAGCTGATAAATCTCAAACACTCACTTAAAATGTATAAACATTTCTTGATATATAAAACTCAATTCTTACTGGTACAGTTTTGTTTTTTAACTTTCTGAAATTCAGTTTCTGCTGCCAAAAAAGGTCATTTAAATCCTCTTTTATAACAGTTCTGTCAAGGAATGTGATTTTGATCCGTAAGAATCTTATTTTAGTGATCTACAAATGAAACAACAGAGAGGCGAGTGCTTTAAAGAAATGTAAAAACGGCCTGCCATAGTCCACTTCATATAAACTTGCATATTAACTCGTGTGGCAATCTTATCCTGTGCTATTTTCCTCTACTTTGCAGCTGTAGCACTGTTTCTGTCTGAATGGGTTTTTTTTTTGCTTTTCTGCATCAAAATCTCTAGTTCCAGTGTGAAGAAATGTGCACTTCCTGTTGCCAGTCATCATGATGACTCATTGAATCAGGGTTCAACTGATTATGTCTTTTCATACTTGATACGCACATGTTTAACTCTGAGTGGACCTTCTTAGAGTTGATTAAAGGAATAGTACACCCAAAACATGATTAGCCTTCATTTTCTACTCACCCCCATGCTGAACAACACTCTGGAGTACTTTTTTGATATCTCAAATGCATCTGGAGATCTGGGAGGCTTCTTGCTGTCTGCTGACATTCAAATAATGGAGGTCTATTGTGCCCGAGACAGAAAGGTCCATAAAAGTCCACAAAAACGTGTCAATATTTCTCCATACTGCTCGTCCAATGTGTTCCAAGTGTCCTGAGTGGGTAGCATCCAGAATTTACTTGAAACGAAGTCATTTAGAATGTTTTTAGAGCATAAACAGTAGTGTATAGGATTTCCTGAAAGCGCGCACATGCGCGTTCACGACGCTACGGAAGCCGGCAGACCAAACCAGCGCATTCAGCTCGGCAAAGAACTCATGCTCTTCCTCAACACTGAAGTCCTCAGACATTTTTCTTTCGTTGTTTCTTTCTTTGCACAGGTAAACAGCACATTTCTTCTTGCATTATTGGCAGAGCAGACGCTGAATGCGCACTTTCATCTGGTTTGGTGTGCCGGCTTCCGTAGCGTCGTGAACGCGCATGTGCGCGCTTTCAGGAAATCCTATACACTACTGTTTATGCTCTAAAAACATTCTAAATGACTTTGTTTCGAGTAAATTCTGGATGCTACCCACTCAGGACACTTGGAACACATTGGACGAGCAGTATGGAGGAATATTGACACGTTTTTTGTGGACTTTTATGGACCTTTCTGTCTCGGGCACCATGGACCTCCATTATTTGAATGTCAGCAGACAGCAAGAAGCCTCCCAGATCTCCAGATGCATTTGAGATATCAAAAAGTACTCCAGAGTGTTGTTCAGCATGGGGGTGAGTAGAAAATGAAGGCTAATCATGTTTTGGGTGTACTATTCCTTTAAGCTAACTTTCGGCAGCTTTTATAAAACTCAAAGGCTAGATCAATTCAAAGTTTAGGATTTGAGTTTGTTAACCATGCTTATTGAAAAAGACCCTTTGTCTTTAACATATCAAATCACACCATGTATAAATGTACATGTACCCCACTTTATACACTGTTTGTGTATTACTATCCCTGTCAGATCTGACCTGTTTGTGGCTCTACAAAATCAAATTTCGATAAAGTGATATTATAAATTCTAAAAAGTGAGCAGGAGTAAAGTAGCAGCTATTTTCAATTAGCTTTTCATTGATTCAATTACACGTTATCCTAAAGGGATATTGAATATATTTGAGAAATATCTTTGTAAAGAAGACAAACAAAAACACAGTTAAACCATTTTTTGTAACATATTTGTATGAGATTAAATTTTTTCACACCAGTGTTATGTTGGCAATATCAAAACATTTTCCTTTGACTGAAATGTGGTTAAAGTCATGAGTGATACGGAAACTGCTAGCACTTGTGAGTTTGACATGGTTCAAGTGTCATTCGAAAAGTGCCTTGTCGTAGGATGTGGTTGTATGTGTATTATGATTAAATATCATTTAGCAAAATCTTTTAATAACATTCACAGAAAAAATAATAAGATTAATTTTATGTTAGATTTTCTTGGAACAGATGTTTGCTTGAATTCAGTTAAAGGTTTGTATGAAATATGATCTGGATTATACCTTATGTATAAGGTCACATACTCGCTGCAGTAAAGAAAAACTGCTTTCAAAAGTTAGTACACTATTTACCGTACCATAAGTTTGGGTTTTAATTATCTCCTTTGTTAAAAGTTATCTTAATATATATTTATTTAAAAAGCTACTGGAAAAAGTGGGGATGAACTGAGTTTGCATGTTCCTCATCTAAACATCTCTTGTTGAGAAAAAGTCTTTCCTGGAATGAAGCCTTTGTCGGTTTTGTGTGTGAACAGACCCTTGATGGTTTAGACCGCATTGGTTTGAAACTATCGGTTTGATCGCCAATCGCATCATTTGTTGGAAAGTGATGTCAGTCACAATTCCCATGCTATAAGAACAGATTAACATAGAGATATTAATGGTGGGACTCGATTTAAATGTTTAATCAAGTTAACTGTAGGGTCTGTAATTAATCATGAATAATTTCATTTTAATCGAAAAACAAAGTATCACCAACATAAACAACCTTTTTAGTTCAAAACCCATTTTTGCTCCTTTTTTACTGAATGAATGAACATATCAGTACAGCAAGACATATATTGATTGTTCTTTTTCATAATATTCACTCGGTGTCTCGCTATGGGATGCAGCCTCCTGCAGCCCTGATAGAAGCATCTATCTCAATCTGCCAATCCTGATTGGCCGGTGGAAGTGCCCGTCATACGCCACGCCCCGTAGCTCCGACTACTAAAGCGTGTGCGGATCACGGCACCCCAATTCAAAACCTCTTCTCACCTGAGAGCTTATCTCACGTCGGAGCCTTCGCTAGCTTAACTGCCCACAGACGGACCTTGCTAGTTTCCGTCGCCGGACGCTAGCACTGTGCTCTGGCTTCTGCCCTGTCCGCTCACTCCAGACCGGACCGGTAACCTTTTGTCTCTCTTCACGGCGGAATCCCTCTCGGCTCCTCTCCACGGACGCTCGAGTCGGACGAGCATTTAGCACACCAGCTACTTCCTCGACCCCGCCACGCTAGCACGCCAGCTAGCTACGGTTCCTTTCCCTACCAGCACTCCAGCTCGTCGGGAAATGGCGGCCGTCCAAAACCCCCACGCCAGGGGAGACCACCGTCTTTGTGGCTGCGGGAATAAAATTTCAGGGAAAGACACCCACCCGGTGTGCGGTACCTGTCTAGGAGTCGACCACGCCAGGTTGGCCCTAGAAATTCCCGGCTCCTGTGGACACTGCAAAGTGTTCACGGTCAAGAGCCTCAGACGCAGGCTAGCCCGCCAGGTTAGCATCTCGGACCGTGATCCATTCCTCCCCACCGCCGCACAAGGTGCAGCCGCGGAGGAGGACGTGGACACAGCTGGGTAAGCCCCGGAGACTGACTACGACTGGGGTGCCCAGTGCGAGCAGCTCCATGCCCCCCCGTTTCCCGAGGAAGACGTGCTGGAAGTCAGTCCCATGGAGGAGGATGACGACACCTCGTTCCTCATATCAGAGGACGAGGAAGAGGATGACACCTTCATGGCCCCAGCACAGCCTGAGAGGCCTAAACCGCCGTGCCCTTCCGCCATGGAAGACAGGGGAGCGAGCTCACC